TTAACCAATTAAGGCATGAAATTTGTAGAAACCAATGGATTTAAGAGAAAAGATGAGTTGGATACAGTTATTTGTTAATTGTATATTATATATATATGGAATCAGCCAAAATAGAGATCTGAAATTGAAGCTTGCTTACAAAGAACATTGACCAATCAAACAAAAAAAATTATAAGTATGTGTAGAACGTAAAGGGCTAATCTAAATATAAGGAGGGTATAGGAACATGAATTAATGCATATCAATTGATTTAACATAAATATATCTCCATAAAAATGCACGTGGATTGATGTAAAGGAAAAAACATTAATTAATTCAAAGATAAGTACAAAGAAAACATAATGATCGAGAAATATGAGATCACGTATTGCAGATTCAACATATGTATATGTAAAATTCACGTATTATCAAATTAATTTTGATATACGTGATAAATGATTATGAAAAAAAATTACTACCTTCTAAGAGTTTCGTGCTGATAACGTGTTATAAAATGAGAGGAAAATAGAACAGAGAAAACTCAATAAACTTTTTGTGTGTATTATTGAAAATCAAAGCCCTATATTTATAGGTAAGAATCAGGGATACAATGGTAATAATTTCTAGGGCTATAGGGGTACAAATGTCATTCACCAATAAACTTTAATAGACTTTCCATTTACAACAAAAACCTAATTTTTAGTTTTCTTTTTCCTCAACATCTCATTGCTTATAACTTTTCGACTGCTTTTTCTTCCACAGTGGTACGAAAAATCATTTCCAATTATTCTAACACTAAGCCCCCTCTCTCTTATTTTCAACCATACAATCTTCCATAAAATAATATTACACGCAAATCAAAAAAATTTCATTCTTTTTCAACCACACATTTTTCAAAAAAAATAATATTCCAACCATTAAAATTTGAAAAAATATAAGGGCCAAACGGGGGCTAAAATAGGGATGACAATTAGGCGGGTTCTCTCGCCTATGCCCCATTACCCCGTTTGAGGCAAGGTGGGGCGGGGGCATTGCTCCGTTTATGTACCATTTTTTTAGTTTTTGATAATTCATTTTATTGTCCATATTCATTAAAGCGAAACAATAATATAGTTATTCAAATTTTAATTAATTTAATTATTTTTAAAAGTTAAATTATTCGAATATATTTGGTAAACTAAAGTTTTTATTGTTTATTATGTTTCTTAAATAAATTTAGTTGTCGTCTTTTATTAAGATTAATGAAATTTCACAGAACTTTTTATTTAAAATATTGAATTCATTTTTTAAAAAAATTAAAAGAGATTGGACGGGGCGGGGCGGGTGTTACCCGTAGATGTCTTGGGCTCGAAATTCTCCGACCCAAACTTGACCCGAATACCCTATTACGGGAGTAATCCCGTCCCGTTCAGGATGAGACCTCACGAGTATCGAGTTTGACAGATTTTTTGCTATCCCTACATTAAAAGTTGAAAATACGAACTCTATGCATGTAGCAATAATTAGCCTGAAGGATAAATTCAGTGGACAAGTGTTACTTTGAATGAATATAGATATATTTTCATTTATTTGATTTTGAGCTATGAAAATAGTTTTACTGTTTCCTGGAATAGTAAATGTATGTAACTAACCGTGTCTTGATGCTATGAAAATAGTTTTCAGATTGGATTAAGCTAGACTTACAGAAGAAATCTTACAGAACCTCTACAGAATTTTTAAAGTTGGTCACGTGTCAATGTGTAGATGAAAGGAAAATGATATGGCGGCTGACGGAAAAGGCCAGAACTGTTGGCTTGGAGGGAATTATATGATAAATTCATCAAATTACTTATGACTTTTGTCTTCATTTTCGGACTCATTACGAAATATCAAACGAAGTCAAAATATTAAATTCTTAATATTATTTTGAAGTACTCACGGCCTAATATTTCACATAGTTAATGAAGCGCGAAACGGCCAACCGTAGAAAATGTTACGACGCGTCAAAGTAGGCCGTTCCAAACTGATATTTCGAGAATTTCGATAACAAGCTAACTTTAAATTTTTTTTTACGATTGTACACTAGTCGAATTCATAAATCTTCTGTATCTTCTTGGTGCTAATTTCGAGAACTATATCATAGACACATCGAATGATATAAATGAATATCGAAAATAGTTAAACGTACGTCAAATGTATGTGTCAAAAAAATGTATAACTCATCCTTTTAAAAAAAAAAAAATTAATTATTTTATTAATGTTTATTATTTTTGCTCGACAAATTTTTCAGTATAATGTACATCATTTTATTAGCAAATTTTATATATGGTACGACTTAAAATTATTATTATTATTTTTTTTTGGACAAGGGGTGATCTCGTAGTTCTTCGTCTATGATATACATATAGTATACCATCGAATTACCCTATTTCCTCTACGTGGAAGAAAAAAAAATTAATGAATCGTAGATATTGGCAAAATAACAATTATTGTTAACCAAGGAAAATGATTCGTGGTAAAGACAAGATACACTTGGGCCAGAAAAAAACCGTGCTTAAAATACGTCCAAAAAAAAATTGAAGTCATACCATATATAAAATTTGCTAATAAAATGATGTAAATTATATTAAGAAATTTGTCGAGCAAAAATAATAAGCATTAATAAAATAATTGATTTTTTTTAAAAAAAGGACGAGTTATACGTTTTTTTGACACACACATTTGACGTACGTTTAACTATTTTCGATATTCATTTATATCATTCGATGTGTCTATAATATAGTTCTCGAAATGAGCATCAAGAAGATATATAAAATTTATGCATTCGACTAGCGTACAATCGTAAAAAAAAAATTTTAAGTTAGCTTGTTATTGAAATTCTCGGAATTTTAGTTTGGAACAGCCTACTTTGACGTGTCGTAACATTTTCTACGATTGGCCGTTTCACGCATCATTAACTATGTGAAATACTAGGCCGTGAGTACTTCAAAATGATATTAAGAATTTAATATTTCGACTTCGTTTGATATCTCGTAATGAGTCCGAAAATGAAGACAAAAGTCATAAGTAATTTGATGAATTTATTATATAATTCTCTCCAAGCCAACAGTTCTAGCCTTTTCTGTTAGCCGCCATTTCCTTTTCTTTTCATCCACACATTGACACGTGCAAAGCCGGTCCTGAGGCGAGGCAGATGAGGCATGCGCCTCAGGCTAAAATAGAAGGGGGCCTCACTTCACTATTTTCCATTTTTTCTTTTTCATTTTTCTTTTTGCAATTAATTAAAATAATTGGAAGGAGAAATCATTTTCCTCTCCCTTGCCAGCACCTGACCTGGATCCACCGGATTCACCATTGTCGTCGCTCGCTGGGTGTTGCAGTTGCAATCGGAAAGAGGAAAAGAAGCTGAGGAAGATGAAACGCTGTAAGAATCTAGGTTTCTGAGTTTTATTTTCTTGTTTCTGTTTGCCTTATTTTGGTTAGTAACAATTGATATGGGCCTGAGGGCCTCTCTCTCTTTTTTTTTTTTTTTTAAATATTAGCCCAAATTGTATATGTCATATTGATTAATGATTAGTGATTACAAACACCTAAACCAATACCCAGAAAATGGTCCAAGACACCAAAGCCATTTCTCGTTGAATTCAAAACCTGAAACCCTTCCAAGCGATTTGTGCGAATGCCGAACAATGAATTGCAAAGCGAAGTTTGCTACTAGCTCTTGATGTCGATAGGCGACGGGTGAGGGCGAGGAGTTGCCGCCGTCGTTACTAGCTTCCAAATCTCTGGTCTCAGAAGCTGATTGTGAAGTGAGCGCCTTTCTCTCTCTCTCTTTTTGTTGTTGTTCTTGTTCTGTGTTGACTGAGTGTTGAATGTTCTATGATTTCTGCTGTATTGATTTTGTTCTGTGAATTGTGAATGGCCAGAATAAATAAATGAATTTTGTTCTGTGAATTGATTTTATTTTGTTCTGTGAATTGTGAATGGCCAGAGACTTCGCTTGGATGGCTGCACCCACTGATGAAATCTCCTTTGAGAAAGCCACCAGAGATGGATTCCACAGGTGCCCTTATCAGTCTTTTTCATCAATTTTACATGAGAATTGGCATTAGATTCAATGGGTTTTCTAATTTTTTTGTTGGGTTTGATTTTGAGATTCTTACTTGTTCCTTCACTATGAATCTATGCAAACTATGATTATAATGTTTGGATTATACAATTTCTTACTTGATCTTTTTGCTTTTGCCTGGTAAGTTGGAAGAAGAAAAAATAAGGTCCTCTACCTTTTACATGGACAACAGGACAAGTACTCTGGTCCCCTAAGTTTCAATTTTTGTAGTTGACCAAGGGATTTTGTGTATATGGGATGAATCATAGCTGGCCTCTTACATGACATAATCTTTGAAGTAGGGGTGGAGCCAGGATTACGGGTTGTTTGAGGTGCTTCATCCATTTTTGGTTACCTTCAATTATGGATTCTACAGCAACAGATTTTGCCTCCAAAATTGCTTCATAATCTAGAAGAAGTCTAGAATAATCCAAATTGGTAAGAATTATTTGCATCCACCGGCACCGATTTGCTAGAATTGTGTAGAGAAATCTTCCACCGGCATCGACAATAGCTCACCATATATATGCATGTGTATAGCCTCTCCATTTTGAGTATGAGTAGATGAAAGAAGTGAAAGACAAAATATATGTGTATGCCTAAAAGTGTGAGATATTTTGTAATTATCTTTTATGATTGAGATTGTTTAACCGATCGTTTGAAACATTTTTTGTTTTGTTATTTTATAATATAAAATTTTTTATAATATATTTTGTTTGTTGTTTTATTATTTAGTTTTAAGTTAACGTTTGGTTACATAATATACTGTTGAATTTTATATTTACGTTGACTTTAGGGAGCTTAATTTACAAAGTTCGCGTCAGGTCCCGGAAATTGGACCGGCCCTAGACACGTGACCAGTTTTAAAAATTCTGTAGAGGTTTTGTGACATTTCTTCTATACCCCTAGCTTCATCCTTCGATTTGAGATTTATTGTTTCTGCAATAGTAGATATTTTGGTACTCCAATGTAGAAAAGAAACGAGGTGGTTCTTTAGATTTGGTTAGATATGCAAATTATTGAGAGTAAAGCTGCACGATTTGCTGCTGTTCGCCTGTTCTGTCTGTGCTTGTTTATGACGGTAGTCGTGGTTGTCCTCGTCTCCAATGTTCAAGTATTTTTACCACTAGAATGAAGGGAGGGAGATTTTGCCCCTCATATATGGCCTAGTGTTCTTCTCCGGTCTTCCATTTACAATGGTTGTAAAATAATGAGGAAAAGGTTGAAAAAATGAGGATTAATTATTAGTGATAACTACGCCACAATAGTAAATTCTTAGTTTTCAAATTTTTTTTTATTGAATTAGGAATATAACTGTAATTTTATTGTGGCATAAAAATCAGCAGAGAAAAAATGGCGAACGAAGTACTTGGTGCGTACAGAGCGGTGCTGAGAGCCACTCGGCAAACGTTTGCTGGCGATACTCCCATGCTCCTGGGGTGCACAGCCGAGGTCAGGAAGAAATTCGAAGAGAACCGTCACGTGACTTCCCCCGCCGACCTACAGTGGCTACTTGAAGAGGCTCGTGAGGCCTCCCAAATCATCTCCACTATGATCGTCCAGGCTAAGCCCAATGAACGTGGTGGTCACGGTATTACTAATCCTTTCTCATTTCTGAGTCATCTCAACTCTTTTCCCTTGAGTTTTGCTTATTTTTCCAATGTTTTTGTATTTGTTGTTACTATTCATCAATATGCACGCCACTTGTTTGTTGTATTGTCCATGTTGGATGCACAAAACCTAATTATACTATTTACCTTTCTAGCAACCCCGGATCAACCTAATATTTTCTTGTTAGGTTGCCCTTTTTCTTGGTCGAGAAAAAAAGAGAGACTTGATAGTAGAAGCGTACTGTAATCTTTACATGGACAAATGGATCTAAATCTAGTATTGAGTGTGAACCACTCTAAATTGAGTGTTTTCAATTACTTTTCGTCTTCTATTTCGTGTTATTGTTGTTTTTCCGTAATTAGAGTACCGTCTTCTATTGTTGATCCATAAGAGTACCGGATTTAGATTCTTGAACTGTGCTTAGCGTTGCTGCTTTACTTTGTGTTTAGGTCCACAGTAGATTTAAATGTTTAAATTTATGTGTAATTCTTCCATAAGCATTTTGATGTGGGCTGAGATATTGACTTACCTACTCTTCTAGTTCTGTAAAATGCCCCTAAGAGACTGGTTGAATGCAGTAACTATATTGATATGGAAAATCATTGAAATCAAAATGAAAGAAAGGGTTGTTAAATTATATCTGATTCACAGTGAATTACTGAAATTATCACAAAGGATTACCATTATACATATGAGCTGCACCAAACTGTCTACAAAGTTTTCACCCATCTAAGCAAGAAGGGATGGAATTGGATAATGGAATCATGAGAGACTTGCTTTGAATATGATGTCAGTTAATAGACCGAAAGGAACTTGGGGGGATCATTGAATTAAAACCATTCTTGGTGGTTTATTTGCCTCAATGGAGTTTGACATCTATTGATTTGCAAAGAAAACTATAATGGAAATGAGCTTACATATTTCATGTACACAAGGATTTTAAAACCAACATGTTACTTCCCTATCCTTCTCAACGATGAACTTTTTGGTCCTGATTTTTTCACCTGTCATCTAATATTTGCGAACTATGAAGAAAATAAAGGAGAGGAACACTAAGAGGAATATCTCCAGATTTACTTTTCATTTCCCTCTTAGAAATAAATGATCCGAATAATGACCCAAATTTTAAATTTCGGTTTCAACTAGATGGATATCTTGGTGGCACTCATTGAGGATGGACCAAGGGAATGATGACACTTGTTGTCAGGGCATGGTTTTCGTAGACTTAAAGAGGCCCCTATACATAGGACACGACTTTAATAGTCTATAATCTATTTATTAGAAGGGAAAGGTAAAATCCAAACTAACAGCGCTTGCTATGGTTGCTAAGTGTATGTGTAGAATCATCAATGAATCGAATGAAGTGGCCAAAAAAAAGTTCACGCGGTATACTTACATTTTATTGTGAACAAGCATTTCAATTTGGAGTAGAGTGCCTGGACTAAATCACTTATGCATAGTGATTGATTGCTTTGCACCACTCCCATGGTTTCGGCTTGAGTTGTGTGAAGTGAAGACAATCAATAGATGCCTTACTGTTTTGCCTGCTTCGATACTGCCTCATTCCAGCACTATATCATGGTTTCCGGCGAATTGATTAATCTCGTCAGATGGATCCATTTTATTTGTAGGCTAAGTGAGAGAACAAATACGGATTCTAAAGGTTCGTCAACTTGGTTCATCTGGATATGCTATTTCAATTTCTTAAAACTATGAAATGCGAAGGCACATCCTAGTGGGCAATATTGTTTATGTGAATACTATAGCTGTATTATTAGCTTGTCATGTTTATGACTACATTTCACATTGGTTATGTGAACAGTATAACTGTTCAACTTATAATGATGACAATTACATTTTCATGTGCGGGTAAAGAGCACGTGAGAGCTACAGTTGAAATCCCTTCCGAAGAGATTCTTAAGAAGACAATGTGAGGAGAGAAAACAATGGCAATAAATAAATAAATTATAATACACAAGCACTGTAATCTGGCCTTTGTTATGACTCTGGTTGATCCTATGATTTTCATTTTTATTCCCTTTATCATGTGTGTTGCTTTATGTAAAATCATCCTGCTATTTGAAATGTTTTTGTGATTATTGTAGGTTATCAATGTTTGCATCATCTTGCTATTATCACCAGATAAATTTTCTTGGTTTTATTTTGACCCTTCCTCTCCCTATAACTGCCACCAAGAGGTGAAGAGCGTTCTTGTGTGACGCAAAGGGATCAAGACCCGTCAATCCACTGAGAGGTAAAATTGCGACATGATTGCCATGATATGGTCTGGCCAAGCGATTTTAATCCTCACCAAATAGGGGCTTATTGTAATCCAAAATGAAGGGCAAAATATAAATTATGAAAACTCTTTAAGAATCACACGAAATGATTAGTGTTGCACCATCATTCATTGCACCAAATTGGTATATAGAGTTTTAATGTATGGTTGGAGTGAATTTTTGCACCAACCAATTTGGTGCACCGTTGGAGATTCCCAAAGTGAAAAAATTTTGAATTGCAAACTTTGTATGCCGCATTTAATCAGAAAATAGTTTTTATGGTGGAAAGAATATTGCTGTGTATGGTACCCCCAAGTTTCCTAAGTTGTCGACTGACGCAAATTAGATCATGTTTTGGGCGTGCTTTTTTTGACAGAGTCAAGGATTTTGTTGCCAAAAATGTGTTTTTAATTAAAGCATGCCGGAACATCATCGAAAAAGTTACAAGGTTTCATGTGCGGTTGGAAAGCCTTTTAGCCTGACTGGGTAACTTAACTTTTTGTAATTCTCTGGTAGTAGCCTTTTTTTTTTTTTTTTTTTTTGGTGGCATTTTTTTTAAACTACTGTTAATGTATGAGTTATTATTCTATCTATTTCATAAAACATTTATGTGCATAAAATATATTTCTTATGAATACTGAAATTAAAGGAACAATTGGATTGTTTAAATGATAAATGATAATATTTTATGCAACATTTTCACCAACCATCTTACCACCATCGAATTTATTTGGTGTTAGATAAATTTTCTATCTCAAGTAGGCCTTCGAAGAATGTGACCCTCAGTAAGGAACGCGTTCCATGTTTTGTTGCACTATTTTTCATGGTAACTAGAAGAGATATACCGATTATTTATCAAACTGCACCTTGTAGTTCAACATAAAATAATAACACAACAGATGTGTAGTATGTTGGGCGGGACATGTAATGCACAATGTAGCAAACTTAATGCTCCATCGTTTAAGCAAACATGCTCAAAGATGGCGTATATTATACTAAAAAGGTATATAAACCTTCACAACATTGTTTACGAGCTGCTAATGTTTTTATAGGAAAATTTCTAACAACGTACAATCTTAATAACGCGATTTTACTTCTACAATATATCGTAATTATCCAATTATGACGAGATATTGGGACAAGAAAGCGACCAACAAAAGCAAAAACCCAAGCCAAACTGGAGATGAAAGCCACTTGTTTCAACACTACAATTTCATAACCCTTTCGACATTGTCTTTTAACCATTAATGTCATCATTAATTTGGTTTCATAAGGCCTTCCTTTCTTCTTTTGTTTGAATGATAACTGGGAAGATGTCATTATTGGAAAAGCAAATATGAAGAATTAATTATAACTAATGCCAGTCAATCAGAATAATTAATTCGTCTGAGTTTAGCCTCAAGTTTGTGGCATAATTTCAATGTGATGATAAAGATAAAGTTTGGGTAAAATATAGTGAGTGGAAGTACATATCTACAACTTAATTTAGTGGCAACCAAATTAAGTAATGGAGATTATGGACACGAGTTTTCAATTTTTGCACAAAGAGTTATTTAGTTAATAGTTAACTTATATAAGGTATCATATATTATTAATTGTTGAGAGGTCTCAATCATTTACGTCACATGATAATATCGTTATAAAAATAGAACAGAAGTTTTATATTGCTTATGATTGTGATGCTTAAAGATCATATATCAAGTGTTTCCATCGTATCATATTGAATGGATAACCTGCAAGGTATGGGCGAAAACCATTTCAACTCATTGTTGGATTGCATGTCGTAGCTTTTCTCTCGAGTTAGATAAGTAGGACAGTGATAGCTAGAAAAAATAGTAAGAGATTATGAACTCTGTCAGTTGCGTTAGATATGCAGAAAATAGTAAGGACAATGATAGCTAAAAAAAAAATAGCGTTCAAGGATGATTTGGATCGGGAATTAACCTCCTTCCTATCTAGTATTTTCCTTGGAGAAATTCATTGTGTTGCTATTTGAACGAATCTTTTACTTCTTAGTCTAGAGGTAGCTTCAGTGACGTTCCCGAAAATGAACGAATCGTCTTGGTAAGTTGTTCGAGAGAAGTCCCACAAAAATTACTCCTTTCCGATTGCTTAGCCAAACACATCATACACTATTTCTATAATGGACTTTTCATTCAATTTAAAAGTGTAATATCTAAATTACTATATAAGGGAAGAGTTTGTCTGCCAAGAAAAATGTGTTAAAACTATATAAATACAAAGCTGAATCCTGAATGGGAATTGAAGTTTGTTAAATTCCGCTGTGCATGTTTAAATCAATTCCCAACACTTCCTACCTAGTCTTTTCTTTGGAGAAATTCACTGTGTTGCTATTTGATTGAATGAATCTTCTACTAAGTCTAGAGGTGGCTTCAGTGATGGAGTATTCCCAAAAAATGAACGAACCGTCTTGGTAAGTTGTTCGAGTGAAGTCCCACAAAAATTACTCCTTTCCAATTGCTTAGCCAAACATATCATACATTATTTCTATAATGGACTTTTCATTCAATTTAAAAGTGTAATATCTAAATTACTATGTAAGGGAAGAGTTTGTCTGCCAAGAAAAATGTGTTAAAACTTACCGTACAAATAATGATGTTACATAAAAAATAACATTTTTGAATAGCATATAGTTTTACACAGTATAATTTTTCATTTACTTCATGAAACGACACATGACAGGATGAAAAATGATGTCTACAATTTTATTATTATTATTATTATTATTATTATTATTATTATTATTATTATTATTATTTGAATCGTCCAAATTCGTAACGAGGAATGACGTCTAACTGAGCATAAAGTTCTTTTCTACAAAAATAATACGTTATTTTTAAAATATAAATGTAATAACTTAAACTTTCAAACCACGTAATCACCAATAATTTACTAAAACGACCAAAATGAGTGAAGAAAATGCATTATATAATTATTTTTCAATACTGGAACTTGTTTTAGTAGTAACCTTTTTTTTAGGCTTCTTTAATTTACAATTACCGTTCCCATGAGCAACCTGTTTATTATTCACAATTCAACCGTAGACTTTTATACATTTTTTCTTTATAATAAATATGTCAAATTACATGTAACTGAATTTGATTAAAGAGGGGAAGATAGGAAATGTTTTTCCATGTTACTTTTCAATTTAATCTAATATTAAGCATGCATTCAAACTTAATTTTTAGATATGAAAATAATAATCAACATATAAAAAATTAAAAATTTACTCGTCTTAATAATGCCGATATTTTAAATAGATAGAACTCCATGATTTAATTTGATATTAGAGTCCGAAAAATTTAAATAAATAATTCAATTAGTTTGAATCTCAAATAAATAGTTAGATTTCACGATTGTACTGTCAAATGAATAACGGTCTATATTTTATTTGGAAAATTTTAATATACTACATACCTTAAACATGAAATGATAATTAACGAGTTTGAAGACTACTTTTCTTAATAAGATAATTCTTTAAAATGGAACTACAGTGCTCAATTTATAATCAAAGTTGAAAAATCATCAATCCCTCCTAGTCGATATATGAAAATTATTGTATCACTTCAATATGAAAATTATAATCAATATATTAGGCATTAGACTTTAATCTTTTAACGCGAGACCTCAAAACCCAATGCTTAATCGAATATGATTAATAAATAAAAAATTATAAAATATTCGTTTGCCATTCTCATCAATCTCGTCCAATACATAACATTTACTTAAGCTTTTCATAAATATTTGCTAGTCATATGTCTAGTCTCATTTAGTACTACTTGTGTACAGGGGTCTTATCGACCCCTCACATGGGTTCGGCCCCACGTAGGCCCCGATGCCATTAAAAAAAATAAAAATAAAATCAGCCCCACTCTTGCGAGGTGTCGGTAAAACCCCTGTAAATGTTGGACTTGTACACTCAGCACTGTTCATTTTATTTTGCGGTAGCACCGGCCAACGCGTTTCAATTGTTGTTACTACTGAGATTGAAATTAGTTGGGTTGCACGTTGTTTAGTTACCCTAATTATGAAATTTTGAATATCTAAAAATTATGGTATTTGACTTTTTATTTGAGAAAATGAACGTTCAAATCACTCAAAGATCCACCAAACTGCCTTTAAGTAGCTTTCCATCCTTCAATGGACGGTAGCAACTAATTAGACAATTAAGCCCCTGGAGATTAAAGAAAATTACAACTGTGCCATCGCGGGATTAGAAACCCCAAATCTGTGTTAATCTACTAGTCAAAGTTTTTCTATAACAAATATATATATATATATATATATATATATATATATATTTAACTGGGAAGATGTCATTATTGGAAAAGCAAATATGAAGAATTAATTATAACTAATGCCAGTCAATCAGAATAATTAATTCGTCTGAGTTTAGCCTCAAGTTTGTGGCATAATTTCAATGTGATGATAAAGATAAAGTTTGGGTAAAATATAGTGAGTGGAAGTACATATCTACAACTTAATTTAGTGGCAACCAAATTAAGTAATGGAGATTATGGACACGAGTTTTCAATTTTTGCACAAAGAGTTATTTAGTTAATAGTTAACTTATATAAGGTATCATATATTATTAATTGTTGAGAGGTCTCAATCATTTACGTCACATGATAATATCGTTATAAAAATAGAACAGAAGTTTTATATTGCTTATGATTGTGATGCTTAAAGATCATATATCAAGTGTTTCCATCGTATCATATTGAATGGATAACCTGCAAGGTATGGGCGAAAACCATTTCAACTCATTGTTGGATTGCATGTCGTAGCTTT